AAAATACTGTATATAGTTTATATGGAACTTCATAAAAACTAGTACAACTGAACTATTCAGACTTTTTTTTCTACTTCTTATTATTATGTGGTCTTCAGAACAAAAGAAAAAACATTCAGACAAGAAAAATACTGTATATAGTTTATATGGAACTTCATAAAAACTAGTACAACTGAACTATTCAGACTTTTTTTTCTACTTCTTATTATTATGTGGTCTTAAAAGGTGTTTAAAGATAACCCTGATTGATTTGAGAGCAAGATCATGGACAGAAGTTGGATTATTTAGGTAGACAACAGGCTAGCATGAGCTAAACAACAGGTTTTCCTTGTTGTATTAGTAGTATTCATCACATATTTGCATACAGTTTATTTCTGTTGTGAGTATAAAAACAAACAAAAAATAAAATAAAATAAATAATATTCTGTTATATTTGGTCACATTTTCAAAGAGCCACATGTGGCCCCAGAGCCGCAGGTTGCAGACCCCTGACTTAAACCAAGAATGTCTTACCAGGTCAACATAACACCTGACAGAAAAGTGGAGACATAATGATGGGACACCCACCAGCCTTTGATCCTGAATCAAAAGAAAGTAGGGAGAAGTACAGAAATACTTTTTTTAACTTCAAAACACACAGAAACTTTCAAATAAATATAATTTGTATATATAATAAATATAATGAATAAACACCTAGAACCATTGGTGATGAGGATGCTTTCCCTTATGGTCAACGTGCAGTAATACCACACCAACAAAAAGTTGAATATTTCATCAGTAACTCTAAAAGGTGAAAAAAAAAAAACAACAAATCAATAAATTGTCATTAATAACAATGATGCTTTAAGACAAACAATTCTCACCGATAGTTGAGAAAGAAGAGGCAGGTTATAGCGCCAAACATCAGGATTATTGTCATATAAAGCTTGAACTTCTCATACTCATCTTTGTAAGCAAATCTGTGTAAACGAAAGACACGATGTTAGGAATGACAACAAGTCTTAAGCTTGGATTTATAATATGTCTTATTGCTAAATACAGTATGTCACATACTTTGCCTGGTTACTGAGAAGCGTCACATTCACATTTCCCAGAACCAAACTCAGATATAATCTGAAAGAAAACAAAAAAATGTCAAAAAAACGAATGGATTAACAAATACGGTTCAATGGTTCAAAGTTTCGTTTCACATTATTGCCAGTCAGAACGTAAAATAATACAGTTACCCATTCTTCTTTGGCAAATATGCTTCCATATCAAAGAAAACATGTTCTCTCTCGTTGATCTGTGTTTTGATGTTCGTTATTAGTTTCAGCTCTTCTTCGTCGCAGGACTGAGCACGCCTGTAAGAATAAAGTGCAGTGAACACTTACGCAACCTTTTATCTAATATCTACAAATGTCCTTTATGTGCCTGAATGACTAGTGACTGATCCTTATAGTGCGTTCACACCGAACATGATTTCAGCATCAGGAGCCTCAGGTTTACATACAAAGTCTATGGTGGACGCGCTTCAAGCAACGTCGGGAAGTGCTGCGGCGCCTCAAGCGCGATTAGAGCAGCGTGATTTGAACGATCTGAGCGTTCGACGCGCTGAGGCGCAAATCGCTGAAGTTAGAAAATCTGAACTTTTGCAGCTCGACGCGCCGCATCAACCAATCAGAGAGACTCCACTGTGTGACGTAGAGACAAATTTCCAGCATCAACCAATCAGAGAGACTCCACTGTGTGACGTAGTGACAGATTTCCAGACGGGATAGTTTACTGAATGATGTCCACTAACCTGAAACAGAGGAGAGGAGCTCTTTAGCTGAAATCCAGTGCCGGCAGTCGGTGTCCTGACAGAGATATCCTCACCAATGCGTGGCAGTGACTCATCAGACTGGAAAAATAGTCCTGAAAGCGAGCTGTGAGCCTCTACTCTGAATTATCTGGTGAATTAATTATGAATTAATTATCTGATGAACGTGACATGCTCTTGCTCTCTGTAAATAAAGCAAAGCCACTTCCTCGTCCGACATTAAACAGAGCCCGACAGAGGAGGGAGGGGCGGGGAGGCTCTTGCCGTGCAGCGCTTCAAGAGCTGTCCTGCGTCTGACCTCAAAGTGCACAAGCTTCAAACTTCAGCGTTGGCTGCGATTTTGAAGCTGAAATTGCGTTCGGTGTGAACGCAGCAATACTAGATACATGATTGAAATCCATACAATGTGAGTTTTTTTTTAACTATTTTTGGCAGTACTTACTTGGACAAGCCACGCCTCAAGTCTTTGAGACATTTTCTCTGTTTACTGATGGCACTGCTGCATGTAGCTTGAAGACTGGTGAGCTCGTCCAGTTTTTGTCTGTATATTTTATGAGTTTCCTGTGAATAAAATACATGAATATACGTTTGATTAGACATTTATTGAATGTCAGGACAAAACACAAAATTTATTAAAAACTCCACAGACTCTGTGCTGGTCTGTTGTGGTAATGAGGGAGCATCGGTCGGTCTATGTTCCTACTCTCACCTATGATCACAAACTTTGAGTAGGGACCAAAAGAACAAGATCATAGATACAAGCGAGCTGAGTTGGTTTTTCTGCAGGGGTAGCTGGACCGTCCCATGGAGTTTGCATGTTCTCCTCGCGCTTGCGTGGGTTTTCTCTGGGTACTCCGGTTTCCCCCACACCCTAAAAATATGTACAATAGGTTGCCTTCAGGCCCAGGCCTCCCTTTATAAAGAGATCTGCGATCTCAATGAGATTTGCCTGGTTAAATAACGGTAAAACAAATAAACAGGGTAAAGATGTCTCTTGAATATACAGTATAAACCTAAGAGACATATTTCTACCTTCAAATTAAGTAGCACATATGAGGAACCTCTAAACATTTAAATAAGATTTGAAGGTTCAACACAATCAGGAAAAGGCAACATTCCAATGAAACATTAAAGTCAAAATGACAATTTGTTAAAGAACAGTATAACTGACCTGAGCTAAAGTTTTTAACTGCTACTCCACTCATTTTAAAGTAGTCTAAAAAAAGTATACAAAGTAGGGATGCACAGAAATGAAAAATTCAGCCGATATCAATATCCGATATAATTATATGTCCGATAACCGATATTACACAAACACACAAATTATATTACACACTTGGGTCTTTTTTTTTTTTTTTTTGATATGGTAAATAAACGACCAGACATCTGACATGGCTCCCTACTTCAGCTACTCCTGGCTGAACAGCATCCCTAACACCATCCTGATCAAACAGATACCACTCAACCATCTCCCCACCAGCTAAAAATTGAAATATCAATATCGGACGTTAATATCAGCCCAGTTTTACATATTGGACCGATACCGATATTCTAAGAAATTACCAATATTGGCCAATATTGATATCAATACTGATATATCATGCATCCGTAATATAAAGTATTAGATGTGAGAAAGTATAGAAAAACATTAGATTCTGCACTAGATACTATATGCATTTTAGGAATTCAAAACTACCTTGTCTATGTCGTTTAAGAATATTTGGAGATCTTGATGTCTGTGTTTAATTGTGACAGCATATCAATACAGATGAAATGCACAAGACCTATTTAAAGACTGCAGAAGTGCACACAACAACAAGGATGGCCATGAGGTGCACCAAAAGAAAAACAAGTGAATTACTGAACATCACTACTTCACTGTTAGGACATAAGGAAACAGGCCCATCCTCCACTTATTTAACACTTTTAGTAGCCACGTTTGAAAGGCTGGCAGAGGTCACTTAAATGGGGATACTTTTAACAGGGTACTTGAATCAGTGACACATTTTCCATGTGGCATCAAAATGTCTCTTTGAAATAAAGTAAAATTGTGCGCCATAAAAGACTGCTCAGCTGCAAAAAGTAATAAAACTTCTCCATCTTATCCTTAAAGGGTATTTCTACATTTTATGGCATTAAAGATCGAGTCTCAGCTGTCCACGAACCGATGCTTCACTGCAAAGTTGTCTCAACTAAATTAGCCGACTAGCTAGCTACGGCAAGCTAGTTAAAGTGGCTTCTAAAAAGTGCTTTTAAACAAATAAATTAAAACATAACCAGCCTTCGCAACTTTGATAGCACTTGTGCAATCATTACCTCCATGTCACTGACTTGTTAGCTTCACTTACTGTTTTACAGCGGCAAGCACATGAGTATACAGAGAAGCTAATCGCTAATAGCATTAGCCGCAACAACACAAGGATGTTAGCGGCAAGTCGAAGAGGATAAAATCACCAGGAAACACATCATTTATAGATGGAATATTGTTACTAAAACAGCTGTTGGCTTAACGCAGCGCTTCTGAGGCTTAGTCGAGAATGAATGATCAACAACAGAGAAAAAGATGAGCTAAAGCTGCTCTGGTGTCTGTCAGTGTACACGCTGCTGCTGCAGTCACTGCGAGCCAACAGCGCCCGTCTGAAACATTCCTGTCACCTGCAGTTGTTGATATTCCTTGTCAATTTCCTCCCATTCTGTCTGAATGTGGGGTTTGGACATTATGGTGCAACAAACGGTGTAGCGACTTTCCCGGTCCTGCCTTCCCCCGAAGCGGTGCTCTGCTCTGCTGCTCCGAGCCCCCAGTCCACTCAGACGTTTTTCTAATTGTGGTGCATTGCGCATGCGCAGTCCCACCGTTTAGATTAAACCACAATTTGAACCCCATCTGAACCCGCATAAAGTAAACAAGCAAAGTACGAAATTAAAATATATCAGCTAAGACTTCTCGGGGGGTGTTTTCCTTTATTTTAACTCACTTTTGATTCATTTTACAATTCACCAATCACAATGTGCGTTGCTGTTGCTAAGATACCACAAACACAACCCTTTTGGTCCTAAAGCAGCTGGCTAAATTTTCATAGTTCTATCTATGGCCTGGATTTTACATCGGGTTTAATTTTAAATAAGTCATCCGCTTGGACACATCGCCGAGGTACTTATTTTTCTATTTATTATCTGTATTTACTAGTTTGATGCAAAATATTAAATATTTCCTATAAAATATCCAAATTATTGTTACCTTCAGGTGTTCCAACCGGAAACGTATTCATAAGGCTAAAACTAAGCTTATTGTTTAAGCTTATAAAACTAAGTATCTTGTTTGAATCAAGAAAACACCATTATAATAATAATTGTACACATGCATAGTTTAGGTAGGATCATGTTGTGCTTCATGTTGGTTAAAAYGATGGGCAAGTTCTGATATTATTCAGGTAGAAATGATCTTTAGCTGTCAATACTTGAGAAAACCCACCACCATCTGTCTGTGCAAATGTTCTATCCAACGTTTTGTCTGTTTTTACAGGCTTTTACCACTCCACTTTATCATGCCATATTTCCAACCATCTAAAAACAGCCTCCCGATCACGTTACTGAAGGATATTMAATCACAGAAATGTGGACTTCGACACACAGTTTTCTCCCCCGGTGGGAACAAATACACTGGAGAGTGGCTTGACGACAAGAAGCATGGTTAGATTAGTAGAATCCTTAACCGACTTGAGCATAAAACTTCATCCACTGTAAGTCCTTAAATGTTGAGTTTTCATTGTGTCAAGGTACTGGAACTCAAGTCTGGAAGAAAACGGGTGCGATTTATGATGGAAAGTGGAAATCTGGAAAACCTGATGGATATGGGACTTACACGGTGTTCAACCAAGAATCAAAGAGCTACACAAGGAAGTACTGCGGCAAATGGAAAAATGGGAAGAAGCATGTAAGTTTTCCCCAATAGTCTTTTAACATGCATGTGACTGACATACAGTATTTGTGACACATTTGTCTATGTGACCAGGGGTTTGGAACATACACCTACAATGACTCATCAGTCTATAAAGGGGAGTGGAGCAAGAACCAACGTAGCGGCTGGGGAAGTATGTATTACGAGAACGGAGACATCTACAAGGGAGAGTGGTTGGAGGATAAGAACCACGGGCAAGGAGTCATGAGATATTGTAAGTTGTTCTGAATAAAAACAAAGCAGCATTTCAAACCCTTGCAGATTTGCACGGTTTGACTCTTACAACTTGTGTTTAAAGCCAATGGAAACTGGTATGAAGGCAAATGGCGAGACGGCAAGCGGAGCGGTGATGGAAGGTTCTACTATGCCAACAAAGGTCTGCTTTATGAGGGCTTCTGGTTTAATGGAGTTGCCAAATGTGGGACCATGTCTGATTTGGGGGGAGACAACGCCCCAGCACCACCCAAGGTTCTATTTCCAAAGGTAAAAAAAAAACTTTGTTACTCCTGCATTGAATTAAATGACTTTGCATGAACAAAACGTACTGTTTCCAATCTATATAGATAATGCACTGCTGTATATACATGCATTTTGTTTTCTTTTCAAGATACAACTGAAGGATGTGGAGCTGGTTTTAAGGGAAGCCAAATCAGCCTACCAGGATTGACGAAGACCCAAAGGATGGACGGACTGACTGATGGAAAGACAGACAAACTGACTGATGTTTGAATAACAATAAAGCTGCATTTATATTGTACCAAACATTTTAAAAGTATATCTAGCTAGAGCCGGCCCAGTATGAATGTATTTAATTACCGTAATGATCTAATATTGATGTTTAAAGTTAATATAAGTTTCTTATTTTTAACAGCATGGCTGACTGACTTCTTGTAGGTCTCCAGAAAATGCAGGCTAAAAATTAGATGCTAATTAGGATTTAATTGTGAAATAAACCATATGTATAGTACAAGTTTTATAAGTGAAACCAGAGAATATACGCCAAAATGTTTTGTTTTTAAAACTGTCAGATGTAAATTTATGTTGTCACTTGGTTTGAAAAGTGTTTATTTCCCCACCAGCTTCTGCCAAGTCTTAATAACAAACTAATACCTTACATTTGGCAGCTGTTTAGTCTGTTAACACAAATATCAAACATTACAAATCGGTGAGTCTTACAGTAGATCCTATATAAGCAGAACAAATAAAACTGTGGTTCACAAAAAGCAGCATCGGTGCAAAACACATTACCATAAATGGGATTTGATAAATGAACGCAGCAGGCAATGACAGTATTCCAAGTTAACGATGAGATGGCTGCCATAACGACGTTAAAATCAACATTTTTTTAAGACAGCAGTTCAAAGTGACGAGCATTATGGCAGCGTTTTGAGTTCACAGTTGAAAAGTGTCTTCTAAAGAAAACAACTCCACAAAAGTAAAATTCGCCACAAAGTCTGAGACTCCAATATCTTCACTCCTGTTAAAAATCTGAATCCGTAAAATCGTGGCTTCCATCTTGGAAGAAATCCCAAGGACTCCGAAGATCCTACACAGACGTGCTCGTCTACGGGAAGTGCGAGCTCGGCGACTGCAGCATGGACGACTCCCCCCGGTTATCGAGCTCGTTTTGAAGCCTGGTGAGGTTGGACAGCTCCTCGAGCTCTTGAAACTGTCTGTCAGTCTTGTGGCTAACCAAGGAGCGATAAAAGTGCACGGCGAAGACGATGAAGATCAAACCAAAGGGAACCATGATGGACGTTGAGGTAATGGCGGCGGCCACGCCGGACGAAACCGTGCTATTGTTGGATTTGTCGGGTTTGATTGGCAAAAACTTGACCCAGCACAGTAGGACCACCTCTGCGAGGAAAAGCAGAGTGCCGATGACGGTGGAAAAAGCCCAGGCCAGTTCGATGTGCCGGTGCATCCTCTCGTGCGGCGACTCCTTCACAGAGTTGAGGTTGTGCACGTTGCTGACAGCCTCTATGTTTGGGAGAATGCAGGTGCTGACCATGAGAGCGAACAGGTGCACAGCAACAAGCACAGTGGTGCAGGCACTGAAGGCGATGAGGAGAGCAGGTGGGTAGGGGTAACTGTTGTCCAGTTGCACCTCTACCATGGCCACCTGAAAAAGAAAAGTAAAGGGGTAGCTATAAAAACACACACACCTGCACTGTCATGTGCCTGATTAAACCACAGAGGAAATATAAAGGACGGCTGAAAGGAAAAGTTACCATAGCAAACCCGGAGAGCAGAGCTGATGTCCGGCTGGAAGCCTTCAGTTTGGCTCGACTCAGGTACAGTTTTCTCCAGGACAGTGCTTGTAGTGAGTGCTCGTTCAAACTCATGTTGCGCCAATTTAAATAAATATTAGGAACACCGGTCGAGCAACGCAGCTGTTTGTAACTCCTCCTGGGCTACAAGACAGAGAACAGCGTCCGACTATGTCTTCCTATTAAAAAAATCATTTAACTTTGTGTGCCCACAATAAGTGCGGAAGCTGTTTTTACCACCCGTTTTCTATTAGCGTTTAGCTGCTGTTGTCGGCACATAAAATTACCCATAAACCCGCGCGCGTAGAGGGCAACATCCGTTCGATGGGACTTTCGGCTCTTCTTGAGATTCGACTCTTTTGGCTCCGCTCAACCAAAAAAGAACCGGCTCTTTTTGTTCCCAAACAGGTCTTTATTTTGGAAAAAAAAAAAAAAAAAAAAAAGTGCTTCAAAAATACATACAACAATAATAAATCATGAAAATATCACCCCGATTGCACAAAAACAACAAAAATCAGGACCTAAAAATGCCCCAAACATATTTGAGTCAGTTACATTTTGTGCAGAATAATGGTTAAATCAAGAATTCAAAGATTTTCATTCCATATGAATTCTACATGACGAATGAAAGATAGATACTAAGGTCACAGTTGTCAGCAAAACTTAAATAAAATAAAATAAGCCATAAGTAGACAAAAAGAAAAAAAAACTGTACATAATGTGTTTCACATGGAGTTTTATTTATTTAACATTTATTTATCCAGGAAAACTGTTTAAGAACCATTTCTCATTTACAAACATGACCTGGCATGCACTGAGTGCATTCTGCAATATACAAACCTACATATTCAGCCATAGTAAAGTGATTGTACATTTTAATTGTGATTAAAATTTTTAATCATGCCCATGCAGCTCTAAAATTAATCAGAGTTAACTAGATTAATTTCACAGCCCTTATATATATATATATATATATATAT